TCCATCTGTTTTCCATAGTGGCTGTACCAATTTGCAGTCCAACCAGCAGAGGGTTTCTATTTCTCCACATCCTCTCCAGCATTTGTTATTACTTGTCCTGTTGATTATAGCCATTCTAACAGGTGTGAGATGGTATTTCATTGTGTTAGCTATTTAATTCAATAATGCCAGTTGCAGTCTCTTTTCTTGGGAATCAGTTCTCTAGTGTTCTGTGGATCATCCTTGAGGCTTAGCTTAGAGCTAAGCCTCCAGCCCTTCCAAAAATTTTTGAAGTACATAAATTCCTGCTTCAAATTCCTTTCTGTTTGAAATGCCTTCCCTACTCTTAACCCTGACTGATACAGTTGTAGATCTATATAGAAAGACTTCAAGAAAAATTGAGTAAAGATATGGGATACAGAATGATAATTCAATATGATACCATTAATATTTAAAAGAAACAGTAAATACTTCTCATTTTAATGGATGTAATGTCATGGAATTAAAATTGTGCTCCAGTGCATAATTTGGTAAAGATTTCTTTGAAAAATATAAATGAGGAATACTTACATTTTGTGGAATACTGACCTATTTAACAACCAGGCCCCCGGGCCAGAGGGTAGGAGCTAATTTGAAACATTGGCCAATTCCTTTCCTCGGTGTAAATATTCACACTATGACCAATTTCAAGCTACCTATATGATATTGCCAAGCATGGATTTGAGAAGGAGTGAGTAGTAGCACTCTATTTATCTTTACCATATAACTATAATAGATATAAATAGCCTCAAAACTATAAGTGCTAGTAAAATGTAGTAAAATAATTAGAACATGATGAGTTTTTGGTACTTAGTATCCTTAATTTTCATCTATGGTGTGTTTCACAACTGGTTAATGTAATCCCTGAAATTTTAACATTCGACTCATACATTAGTGTAATCCAGCTTCAGCATACCACTGCTGCATTTTTAAATGTTAAATTTGAAAAGAGCACACAAGATATTTGAAAGGACTGATAAAATTCCAGAAAGAATACTTACGTAAAGCTTTTATTTAAAAACAAAAGAGACAGGACATCAAGAGAGAGTGTAAGTGAGCATTTGGAGACCAAGACATACACAGATGTAAGTTCCCCATGGTTCTTATTCTCTCTCTCACACACACACACACTTTGTCTCCTATCGAAGCACCAATATCTGTTAACTTCAAGAGAGCTCAAGGCAGAAGTTCCAAGCAGAATCTCGGATCAGTAAACAAACTTGCCCAGGGGTTGCCAGGAAAGTTTCAGACTTTAAACCTCATGCAACTTCCACTGGCCTCATTTGGGCCAAGAGTCCAAGCCCAGTATCTAGGCATTTTCAAAAATAAGGATAGAGTTTTCTCAGTTCGATTGTAAATCCTATAGAAAATCTAATAATGAAAACAATAAAGAATAATATTTTAAATATTTATTACCCATTATGACTCTAGGACTAATTTTTTTTGAGATGTGGAAGACTGAGGAAAGATGAAGAATTTTGTTTTGACGTACCTGCCAATTAGACCTTCAAGTAGAAATTTTAGATATAAGCAACTGGAGGTATAGGGAAAACTCAGAGCTAGAGTTAAAACATTTGGGAGTTGTCAGCAAATAGTACGTATTGAAAGTATTGGACTGGATAACATCATCTAAGGTATGAGTGTAGGTAGAGAAGAAGAGAAATCTGAAGATTGAGCCCTGGGGCACTCTAACATTTATAGTTTAAGATGTAGAAGATTCAGGAAAAGAGACTGAAAAGAAATAGCTGATGACAGAAAAATTGTTTCCGCCCATACATCCACCTTACTTGTTTCTATCTCAAGGACTTTATTCTTATTCCTTTGTATTGCTCTTCTTTCATATGTTTTGTATGTTTTGCCTCCTCATCGTTTAGGTTCAACTCAAAAGCTACTCTCTTAGAAAAGTTATTTAGACTGTGCAATCTGAAGTACTCCTCATCTGTCTCACTATTTTCTATCATATTACTTTTTATTTCCTTCTTAACATTTATCACAATCCAAAATTCTCTTATTTTTGTGTTTACTGCCTATCTTTATCCACTAAATGCAGCATCCTTGAAAGAAAGTACTGTGTCCATGTCCATATCTGACAGTTCCTGGAACACACTGGATGCTCAGTAAATATATGTGACCTGCCTGAGAAAGTTGTGGAGAGAGAAAAATAATATCTTGTCACACCTGGTTGTGGATTGTCTTGATATTATTATGCATGCCATTTCAGTCATACTTTATAATAAAAAAGTAATATCACAAACAATTGAAGGAAGTAGTAGTTTTACTTTATTTTAGCTGCTTTTAAAATTTTTAGCTACTTTTTTATTTGGGGAAATTACAAAAGGTAAATAATTTGTGAAGATTAGAGCTACTGCAATAGATGCCACACAGTTTCCTGCCCTTGAGAATCTCATATTATTTTTGCTTCAAGAGAAGGCAAACAAATGACAAAAGGAGGACATGAAGAATACATGATATAAATAATTGCAACTTAAAAATCATTTTTAAATTTCTGACAAATTTTGGATCTAAACTCTTGTGAGAAGAAATTCATATGAGGGTTACAACTTGTCAGAGAAGCTGAAGATTGACTTTAAGCAGATAATTTTTTCTCTCTAGTCTTCAGTCTCCCCATCTGTAAATTGAGAGACTTGGTCCAGCTGAACCGATGCTACCCCTTCTCCACAAAGAATATAATTTTATGAGATACATAAGCTATCTCACATATAAATAAAAAATAAAAGTGCATTATATGTCTTACATATTATGTAATGAACTCCCAACATATTAATTTCAGTTTAACAAAATGCAATTACAATTTATAGAATAAAAAATAATTTATTTGGTAGATGCAGCATATATGTTCTCATACTAACAAAACATTTAGTTTTCTAAATTCTGAAAAAATAATATAAGGTAAATTTTGAATATAATGGTAGGATAAATCAGAACTAGGCTATTAATATAAATGTTTGGCCATCTTTTTTTCTTCCTGTTTCCTATATTAGATAAATAGATAAATAAACTAATAGTGGTTTTGAGATAAATTATTGATGAAGACCTTTATATATTTGTATATAAGAAAATGATTGGTACATTAACAGTTGAAAGAAAAAGATTTTAAAGCAACAGATAAGAATATCCCGCAGTTGTCTTTATTTTTCACTCCAAAATAACTTTTCTTTCAGAGTCCAGTCTTGGAGGTAATCCAATCACGATAAGCAGTCACTCGAGTATAGACACCTGGCTTGTTCTTTTTTGCGCATCCCTCACCCCAGCTTACTATTCCAACAAGATGCCAGATATTTCTAGAGTCAGGGTAAGCTAGCGGCCCACCAGAATCATTCTAGAAGAAAAAGGGAAATAAAATGTTTCTTGTCCTGTCCAAGAATTTCCTTTTGCCTCTCCTCTGGAGCTGTCAATAGTCCCTGGGCACTGAAAACAATCCACACTCTTTGGTCTTGCAACTGTAGAACTCTTGGGTTTTTTCAAAACCTAGGGAAACTCCAAACCAGAATATATTGCCTACAGCTGCCAAATTTGGACTGGGAAGACTAGAATTTGACTTCATAATGATTCCAGACTTGACTATGGATAAAGTGACTCAGCTGCTCCATGATGCCTCTGAGGAATGGGTGACGTGCACAATGCTAAACCTCCTGCTGTGTCTCTGAGTAAGAAAAAGGCAGCACTCTAGATCTGCAGGTTGTCCAGAAAATAAGTCCACACTTATTTTATTATCTTGTAAGTATCATCCTTTGTATGAATTCGTAAAATAAAAACTCCATAAATAGGATTAATAAATATTCCTCATGTGTGTTGAAATAAGAAGCTATGCTGTGGAAATCATTAATACAGAAAAATATCTTGTGTTGATAAAAACTTCCATTTCATTAGTACTTTGGGAGAAAATGATTTTATAATGTATCTAAACATACCTGACAGGCATCAGCTTCTCCTGACATAAATCCAGCACAGAGCATTTTATCAGTCACAAAGCCTGATAATGCATGTGGAGCATTGCAAACTTTATTGTCGATAATCTTCACAAAGGCCTGTTGAAGTATCTTTGGAGTGGGACCTAAAGGCATAAAATTTGCATATTATGGGGATCTTAACCTTGTTTTTTGAGACAAAAAATATGTATAAGATAAGAGTATCTATAAGATTCTTTTGGTCACCAAGAGCTAGGCCAGTCCCAGGTTAGATCAGTCTTTTCTGGTGTATATTATTGCTGACTGCCTCACATACAATTCCAACTTTTCCAATTCTCATTCCCAGAGATATTTTAGAAATTGAAGTTAATGCCATGCTTTTGATCCCACCACTTGGTTTTCTTTTCAGTATATTTACTGATTGGTTAATTGCATGAGTGTGATTGATTGATTGATTGATTGATTAAATAACTATTCCTGTGAAGCCATGACATTTTTACAGATAAACTTACCATTCATATAAAGTGTTCCCCATCCTGTGACTACAACACTGTCATTTTCTGAGAGCTTCATTTTGGCTTCAGGAAGACAAATCCTACGAATGTACTTTGTAAAAGAAACTTCTTCAGCCAGCTGCACAAGGGCAATATCATCATGAACGCCAGCCCTGTTATAATTCTCATGAGAAATAACATTTTGGACTTTCCCTGTCCTATATGGTTTATTTATTACAGTTCCAAAGTTCACAGTCCAATCTTCTGAATTATTTTTCCTGGAAGACACAATTAAAGTACACAATTTCTATGCCACAACAGTGTTCATAGTGGTCATTAGTTCATAACTTTAAGATATGAGATTTCCAAACGACACTGTAAAGCACTTAAATTCTTGTTTTTAAAAGATGTCTTTGCCTTGGGGATGTTATAAATGCTGCAGTCACATAAAAATAGGGCTAAGGACTATTAGAGCTGTCAGCCTTCTGCAAATCCTCCTAACTAGAGTCACTGCTGTCTTCTGCTACTTCAGCCCCATCTAGATATGAGCTTTTGACTTGGGCAGGGAACATCCTAGCAGCCTCAGTGGATGGGGTCCAGAATCATTCTTACAGCCTGGATTCCAAGAGCCTGTGGGGACTCTGGCATCTGCGTGTATAAAAAATTGCAACTTGTTTTCATCAGATCGCCCTATTATGTTATGAAGCCAATGCATTTTGACTTCTAATTTAGATTTTATGACCTATTTCTCCAGTTCCCCACTGAAACCCTTTCTCAAGTTAGGGCCAAACATCCTGTTTCACTGCTCTCAACTTCTTCAAAAGATAAGATGCGTTTTTTCATTTTTAAGCTTTCAAGATCTTCATGTAACAGTGACACTCCAATCCTTCTACCGTTCTCAAGCCCTCAGTGACTTCACATGCTTAACAGCTGTGTTTCTTAAACTCCATGCCCTTAGAATCAACACAGGCTCCTCTAGTGTGATGTTTAAGGATGTACACTTTTAATGAGTCCCTAGTTCATGCTCCATGGACTACTTTTTGAAAATAGCATCAGAGAGACAAATTCTATGAATGTGCTCTGTAAGAGACTTTGGTAAGTAAGCATCTTGTTATTTAGAGATGTCCCCAATCAATATAAATTTTCTAATGTATTTTCTAATGTTTCATTTTACAAAATTCTCTCTACTTCAAATTGTTCTTTTTGTTTGCTGTCCACAGAATATAACTTGTGTTTTTCCATCTCGACACAAGATAATTTTCTCAACCTGAAATACATATTATTCTTTCCCATCCATCCACCCCATCGATCAAATCTTATATCTGTAGGGTCCAGATCAAATCTTATATTTTCATATCTCAGTTGAATATGTTCTCCTTCTTTATCAAATTTCCATAGTGCCTACCGTGTTGTACATGAGACATTTACTACATTGTGCTGCCTTGCCTTTAATATATGACATTTAAATTTCTTCAACTATGTTATAAAGCCCTGGAGGGTAAGACAAGTAAGCACCTAGTAACTGGAGTCATCCATACCTGAGTTCACATTCAATTTCTGTTATTCAAGAGCTGTATGATCTTGGCCAACTTACACTACTATTTCTGAACCCTAGTTTCCTCATCTTTAAATGGATTTAATTATACCTTCCATTCAAAATTATTGTTATGATAAAATGATGTAAATAAAGCACTTAAGGTCAGGCTAAAGTAGCTATTTTGAGAATGTGAATTGCTTCCATTCACTTTTCCCCGTCTTTGCCAAATTAAATGCTTCCACTGCCCTTCAATAATGCAAATAATAGTAAATTTTATATCGCTTTGATGAATGTTCACATATTTATGTTAACCCCCACAGACAATCCAAAATAGGCCAGGACCCAGAATTCTGCATTTAGTCAGACTTTTACACTTACTTATTAAAGCAGTGAGCTGCAGATAACAGCCATCTGCTGCTGATCAGAGATGCTCCACAGTGGTGTTGGCCCTTCCATTGCATGCTGGCTTGCCATGGCCATGCCCCCACCAGGGTATTTTCCCCATTCACAATTCGGTTGCCTGCTATCATACTATTGGCCACTTGTCTTCCACAACCTGAAGAAAAGATTTCTTTTTACAAGAGAAAGTATCTTTGATTACGCTTTATAAGATACATATCTTAAAACATTTCTTGAAACCCTCCAGTGATTGTCTGGCATCTCCTAAGTAATGCTGTATCTTTCCTCATATACTATTATCACGGTACCCTGTTCCATCTCGGTTTGGGTGATTTTTACCCATCCTCTTTTTCAGTCTCAAGTATCTTTCAACCACTGACTTTTATTATACCTATTTGTTATAATTCTCATTTCCCCAAATAATTGCAAAATTCTTGAAAGTGGAGACTTTACTTCATTAATGTCTGCATCTCATATAGCATATGGGGTGCTGAGGGTAAGGCCTCATGTGGACAATAGATACTCCATAAACATACATTGAGTGAATGAAAACAAGGTTGTGTCTTGTGGGCAACATGATAGTCTAAAGCGAATTTATTTAAAAGGTACAGAACTGTTTTTATCTTATAATAAATGTTTTTGATACAGCCTAGTTTTTATTTTCTTGTTCTAAGTTGCCCCTTTTTTCCTTCAATTTTTCTTATTTTAACTTACTCAGATATGATATTCTTTACTCATCATTCCATTCTTTGGAATCAGTTCTTATTTCATCATTTTGGACAACTTCTTATAAATGTTAAAAATTCATATATCAGTGTTTTTCAAAAAGAAGTTTTATATATATATATAGATATATATATATAACCAAACGCCCTCCTCACTTCAAAATGTTATCTTCATTAATACTTCCTCATTTTCTTTTGTCTTAGAAGCAATGTGGTAAATTACTATAAGATGGCCCCAGTGTATTGTGCTTCTCTGTATTTATGCCCTTGCGTTGACCTCTCCCACATTGAATCTCAGCTGCCCTGTGACATAAAGAATTCTTTACTTATATATATCTCCATCCTTCAGTTTTGAAAGACTACTATAGATATTTACATAATATACTTCAAGATCCTTTTTAGGAAAATGATGGGGAAATATTTGTGAATGTGTTAAATTTACAATAATATTTCTAAACTTACAGTTGTTGGTAAGCATTTCAGCATTAGCCTTGCTGATTTCTGAAATTTAAAAAGCATAAAATTGATAAAATGTCACCAAGGAATTATCTTCAATCCAAGTTTGTAAATGCTAACTCTCCTAGCTCAAATACGCCCAACATTTAACTATTCAGACTAGTTCACTATTGATTATAAGCCCCTCTCATTTCTAGTTGTTATGTTTTGACCATCTCTCCACATCTCTACCAGGTAGTATAATAAAAGGGAAAAGGAAATAAAAAACAAAGCTCTCAATTTTATAAGAATTGTAGGAAAATATTTAGTGAAGTAAGAAGCTGACATTATTACTAAGAAAAGGACTTGCCATTATCTTTGAATTTCTTTCTCTATGATAATTTTTATTAATCAAATGCTCAGAGTTATCTATATTTTTAAAAATCCAATTAAAATTATATTTTGTTGGGCCTATGCTGCTTTTTAGAGTCATCTCTTTACTAGACTGAATTATGAAATTTTGAGAATTTAACTTAAATTCCAGTCTCTTTTCTACTGAGAAGAGATATTAGAGAGAAAGAGAGTAAGGAACTAAACGTAGACACATCAGAAACTGCTGACCCTGAATCCTTGGGACACACAGGGGAAGTAACTAGTGCCGTCTCCTTTCCCAACAGCTACCCACAAAGGAATTGTATTGCTCCTTTGAAAAGTTCTATCACATACTTATTTCTCATGAGTGGCTCATTGGTGGTAAGGTCTGTATTCTGAGGCAAAGGCACTGTAACTGGCAGGGGTCAGCCTTCAAAGTCATTAAGGATACCAAGATCAACTGTCAGTCTGGAAGAACCACAAAACTGGGCTCTGTAATCACATGCTTATCACCTAATAGACTTTTTAACAATCCAACAGAGAGTCTCAAGACAATTGCAGGACCTTGAAGATCTTTATAAACTTTACTTTTTGTACAAGACAAAACCCTATCGTTTTCTTCCCTTATTTTCTAGGATATTCATCCAGACTAATTTTTTCTTTAATAGTATTAGTCCCATTCTTCCACAAGAAGCAATGAGAATGTCCTATCCCCAACTTCACACTTACCCCTGCAATCTCCACAATGATTGATGGCAAAAACCCTAAATCTGTTTCCTATAATGAGATCCTGACAAGAATAGAGGATAAGGAGGAATAATATTTCACTTAGGACAATTCACACCGTTTTCCATACATAACAGGAAACCCTTCCAAATTCACATGCATGTCCACAGTTTAACCCTCATTTCTATCACCCTTTAGACAAAAATTCTATGGCACTGTCCCTTCTACTATCAATTCATTGTAGAAGTGCCAGATTTTTTGGAAACATATTTTTTTCCTAAATAAATTTCTGAAACTCTTTATTTTTT